ACAAAAAGCCTTTGTTGCCTATCTAGAATCCTTACATGTCTGACCAACAGCTGAAATTACATCACTTTCCTGTGCATCACAAGCTCTGAAAAGACAACTGCCTCCTCAAAAGAGATGGAATGGAAATGCATATTTTTAAATCAGTGCACTGCACACACCCCGTTACCAAATAAAGAGAATGAGCAACCCCTCCCCCCCAAAAAACATCTGGGCTTCGTTAGTGACCAATCATGGTTCAGCAAAGGCAGCTAGCCCTTGGTTCAATTTCAAGGTCAATCTCAGTATCTCTAGAGGGCTGGTGGGTTGGTTGGTTTTTACCCTTTACAAACCACTAGTTTCTATTGGGGGTATACTCCCTTTTCTGTCGTGTTTCCTTTCTCATTAAGATATTCTGAAAACAAAACACCTACAAACACCTTTGTTCCCACTGATTTACTCTTTATTACTCTGTCCTTGCCTCTTTTCCAGAAGCACTAGTTGCTTCCCTCAGCAACATCTGGATGAAGCCTTCCACCCTCCGGGTTCCCATCTTCTTGAGCCTTCACTCCATGCCCTAAAACTTTTTCCAAATATTTTCCATCACTAACTCTGTTCTGGGATGAGCTCCCTTCCTAAGCTAAAACTAAGGAAGGCAAATATTAAACGCCTCGTCTCAACTGGCAGAAGGATTGAGTAACGGAATTCTATGGAGCCTCCAAGAAACCAGCGCATCTCTGGACGTGCGTATTCTGACCCACAGGAGGAATCGTGCTTTTCAAACTGATGAACTACACGTGACGCCAAACCTCGACCGTGAGAAGAGAGGCTTATAAGCGGCTACATACAATTCTCCCCTGAATGGAAAACAGACTTAAAATGAACTTTAGGATTATTTATAAGCAGTTCTTAAGCTTGATGATACTCAACTGAGATCCATTAAAGACATAATGGTACCACCAAGGGTGTTTGGTTAGTTGATGCCTGACTGTCACCTTGCCCCTCGTGTGTGGCTACGGGTACTATAAGTAAGTAGGGTGTAGGCTGTCGGTGGTAACTACATGAAAATGTACAGAGGAATGAATCGTTGTGTCTAACATTATTTGGGCATTCGCGTGTGCTAAGCCTTTTATTAAGTCCTTTGCATGCGTGATCTTATTTAATCCCCACAACAACTCTATGTATGAGAAATATATCTATCTAACAACTATGAAAAAAGTACTGCTCTTGCCACCTTCTTAGAGAGAAGGAAACCGAATCTTTTAAAGGTCACATAATTGGCTCAAGACTCCACGGTTAGTCAAGTGATGGGGCACAATCTGCACCCAAGCCATCTGAATCCAGACCCTGAGCTCCCAGCTATGAAACCAGGAGGAAATGGAGGTCCCACTTCTCTTTCCTGCCTTTATATCTTGCCTCCTTCACACCAAAAATTTTTAAAAAGCAGAAGTCAGGGAGCCTGGGTGGCTCAGTGGGTTGAGCCTCTGCCTTCTGCTCAGGTCGTGATCTCGGGGTCCTGGGATCGAGTCCCGCATCGGGCTCTCTGCTCAGCGGGGAGCCTGCTTCCCCCTCTCTCTCTGCCTGCCTCTCTGCCTACTTGTAATCTCTCTCTGTCAAATAAATAAAATAAAAATCTTTTAAAAAAAATAATAAAAAAGTAAAAAGCAAAAGTCCAGACTAGTTCACTGAAAGAATAGACCCAAAAACTCTTTCAAACTCAGGAAGCTGGGGAGTGCACAAAAGAGAATAAAGGAAAGAACAGAAGTACTCCTAATCAAAATCCAGTTAATATAATCACTGGATTGGCCAAAGGTCCATCCCCTTGACGAAGCAAGACTGATGCAAGTTTCTGCCCTACATCTACATGTATAGTTTTGGTTAGTCAACTCCTGAGTAGCCTACCATGTGCCAATTCCAGTCACAACAGATGAGAGGATTCCACGACAGACTTTTTTTCCAGGCCTATTACATGACACTGTAAGAGTTATAGGACATCTTTTTAAAAGTGAAAAAACTTTAAAGCAAAACAAAACAGCTCAGAAGAATAAAGGGTAGCAATTTGACTTTGAGGCCATGTACTTAGCAAATCTAGTCAGTTGAAAAATATATCTCTAATACAAGGAAATCGGTGAATGACATTGTTGGAAAGAATTGAACTCACTATGAAGTACAAGCCCATTTCCTATGGAAAATGCAGTGATTTATTTCTTTAGCACCAGCCTTCCAGCAAAGAATGCCACTGAACTGAATGTCTGGCCATGAGTGGCTGCAGACTCTACCCAACAGAATATACACAAGCGAAGAGGAAACACACCGTCTAGAAAAAATACACAATTTCCTTTTACTTCCTCTTCTAAGTAGAACAGCTCTTCTTTGGGGACCGAGTCAGGGAGCTGTGACAGTTCACTCACTATACAGTATTTTCCATTCTCACAGCCTGTAAAATTTAGAAATCACCACCGTCAATGGGGATGACCCAGTTATTCCCAGAAAGCATGGGCCTCCCCGGTGGATGCCTCTCATGGGCTTCTTACGCAGCATGAAGATCAGATACCTGGAATCCATATCTCCAACGAGTAAGAATCCATTAAGGAGGGGCACCTGGGTGGCTCAGTGGGTTAAAGCCTCTGCCTTCAGCTCAGGTCATGATCTCAGGGTCCTGGGATCAAGCCCCGCATCGGGCTCTCAGCTCAGCGGGGAGCCTACTTCCTCCTCTCTCTCTGCCTGCCTCTCTGCCTACTTGTGATCTCTGTCTGTCAAATAAATAAAATCTTAAAAAAAAAAAAAATCCATTAAGGAAGAAAAAAAAAAAAAGCACATAGGTCCTTGGCTAAAAACTGGCTGTGTAAAGATGAGTGGTGGGAAGAAAAGCCATAAAGATAGGTGGGTGTGAAAAACCTAAACTTATAGAAACAGAGAGTAGAATGGTGGTTGCCAAGAGTGGAGAGTGTGGGGGAAGTGAGGAAGTGTTGGTCAAAGGATACAAATTTTCGGTTATCAAGCCTGGGCATCTAGCATGCTGATTATAATTAACAACACTGTGTTATATGCTTGAAAGTTGTTAAGAGAGTAGATCTGAAATGGCCTCACCACAAAAAAAGGGAAATGGTAATTATGTGAGGTGACCTTAAACAAATGTTATGGCAGTAATCATTTTGCAATACATAAGTATCAAATCAATATTTCATATTCCTTCAGTCGACACAACGTTATATGTCAATGATCTCTCCGTGAAGCTGGGGGATACAAGAGAGGCCACACTCTCGCGCCCCCTAACTTTCACTGTCTTGGCTTACGTTTTATTTCATTTTAGCAACACTAATCTCGTGACTTCCAAGAACTTACCATTTTCTATAGAAAATATACTCTCATGAGTAAAAGTGAAAATAATTACTCTGAATCTTCCCAGGAAGGAGGCCTTAGGGACAGTGAGCAGAGGCTGCAAGGAGGCAGATAGAAGAATTTTCTAATTCCGAAAGTTCCGAGCTTTCAAGAAGGAAAAGGCAGCCTTGAGAGGTAGTGAGTTCCCTAACACTAAGGATCTCAAGCAGTCCAGATGATTACCGCTTGGTGTAGGTCTGGAGAGAATTCACTTATTGACCAGAAGGTTGAATGAAATTCTCTTACTTTAAGGTTACATTGCAACGCTGAGATGTTTTTAATCTAAAGATCATCCCCATTTCCTTGTGCTAAGAAATCTAATCCCAACACATGTTGAGCAGAGGAAAAAAAAATACAAGATGAATAAGTTAAATGAAAGGCAATACCACAGTATAAATAGAAAGTGATGTAGAACTCTAGAGGAGAAAGGAATGGCATACCAACAGGAAAATATAATACAGCAGAGCAGCAAAGACACTTAAAAAAGATGAAGCCTGGGGCGCCTGAGTGGTTCAGTGGGTTAAGCCTCTGCCTTCCACTACGATCATAATCCCAGGGTCCTTGGATCGAGCCCTGCATCGGGCTCTCTGCTCAGCAGGGAGCCTGCTTCCCCCTCTTTCTCTTCCTGCCTCTCTGCCTACTTGTGATCTCTCTCTCTCTCTCTCTCTCTCTGTCAAATAAATAAATAAATAAATCTTAAAAAAAAAAAAAAAGATGAAGCCTGCAGGATAGATCAGGGAAGAGAGAAAAGGAAAGCCAAAGGTCCCATTGCAGAGGATATGTCCTATAGAGGATGCCTTTATATTTCTTGAGAAATGGCTTTATTCATTTTTAAGGTTTTTCTCCTCTGTCAACAGGGCAGACAGACCAGAAGAACGTGGGTAGTGTAGCAGCAAAGGGAACAAGGTGGTAAAATGAGTGAAGCTCCTTGGTGAGCTCTGGATTTCTGGCTTCAAGGAGCTGCAGCATCAGTGTGCCTGTCGATCAAGAGCACCTGCCTAGAAGTCACAGTCATTAACGTCAGTCTGCAGGAATGACCACTAACGGAAGCAAACCTCTGAAACTGAAAACATGGCTTCCTAAAAAGCCGCTGTAACAAGGAAAAACACAAGCCACCTCGAAAATGAGATGTGTCCAAAGCAAAGCCATGAAGGAAACAACAAAGAAAGAAAGAAAAAGAAAGAGAGAGAGAGAGAGAGAGGAAGGAAGGAAGGAAAGAAAGAAAACGTTACAAAGTTATCTCATACACATTTCATCTGAATTTTATCACCATTTCTAATCAACTTCCAAGGTTTCATAATAGCCTTTAACCTTAGTTACTCAACCCACGGAACAAGTCATCTCATTGTTACCGGGGTTTGAAGAAAGAGTGGAGACTCTTTTCATGTTGATAAGAGATAGAAAGAGGAGTCACTCCCAAGGAAGAAAAGCATTGTGAGTAAACTCCTGGAGCCTAATGGTAAAGGGCATGATAATTCGGTGCTTGCCTTAACCCTTTCAAAGACCATGGAACCAGAAGTCAGAAATACATGTAACTGATAGAAAATAAAAGTAACCTTCATTTAAAAAATGGAAAAACAGAAAATTTTCATTACCTTAAAAAAAAAAAAAAAAAAGCCCAGAAAATATATCTGATTACTCACCCATTTCCTTGGTCTGCCTCTTGGCCGTTTTTCTCCAGTGGCTTCTGCTTTCTGCAAAATGAAAAAGGAAGTCATATTGTTTCCTACCTGACATTATTTAAAAGCGCTGCACCGAGGGACACATTCCAAGTAAGACTGTTCTGGTTTGCGATGAGGTATGGAGATTGCTTTAACAATCCCGTTCTCCTTGAAGGCTCATCTTCTCGTCAGAGTAGCTCCTCCTTCCCCAGTGTTTCATGGTATGATGCACAGAAACATCTACTCATCTCTCACCCTCAAACACTCCCCCAGAATGATCTCCTCTGAAATGCATGAAAACGCTTTAAATAAGCCATTTCGCTTTTATTTCTATCCACAATTAAAAAAAAAATACTCCCACATATCCATAATTGTATAAAGGAGGATTTTAGAAAAGTAATGGCTCTTAACTGATTTTCTTTCCATATCACAGCTAAAGTTACAAAAATTAAAACTGATTTGTTGCTTTACAACTTACAAAGCACTTCCACCTACATTGCTAATCAAAGTAGTTCCAAAGTAAGGAAGAATACATAGGCTTCTGAGTCAAATAAAATGAAACATTTGCATTCTTCTACATAGTTAACTTTTTTTTGGGCAGTTCCTTGCCAAAAAGTCACGTGTCAACCAATTCATTGAAACAGAATGAGAGAGAGAGAGAAGTTGGCAAAATCATCCATGTGTGTCCCTGTGATGGAAACTAGGGGTGCCAAAAACCAGCAATTAATAAAAATGCAGTATTATTACCATTAAGTCCCTACTCAACACAGACCTGACATGAATGTATTTCTAAGTACCTTGAGAGTTTGTTTTATTGCTTCAGAGATTTTATCTGGTATTCCAGTTGTTTTTGCCTTTTGAATCAAATTTTAACATCTTCTATAAGGTAATTTCCTTATGTTTACGACCCCTACTGCAATCCTTAAATACACCAAAACACACATACATACACACAACATACGTCTCCTATAAAAACACATGATTATACTTTTCAGGAAAAAGAGAAGTTAGTACACACTCTTCTATAGAAGAATTACGCAAAGGCTATATAAACACAAAAATACAGGTAACCTGGGCCAGCGTAACTTGTTTGGCATCGTGCTTTTGTTACCTAAGTTAGCAGCTGGTAGGTGCTTGCTGCGGTGATACTACCTGTTAAAAATGTTAAAACTGTCTACACTGCCAAGTGAGATTCTCTTTTCTCTTTTCAATCTGCCTTATAAAAAGAGATGGAGATAGATAATAGATAGATAGACAGACAGACACAAGATAAGCCACAAGATTCCTCACAAATAGCATCTCCCTGACCTGGCATTACTACGCAACAGGCCGTAGGAATTAACCCAAGTTCTGTATGATTATAATACCATTAGTTCACATCTATTGAGCACATGTGTTATTTTCATTCTCAATCTTGACAACAGCCTTGTACAGTAGGTATTATAATTTCTCTAATTTTGCAGGTGAGCAACTGAGTTTTAGAGAGCGGAGGAAGGTCACACACAAAGGCGGTACAAGGCACGCAGGGGAGCCTGGAATTTGAGCCCAGTTCTGTTGGCCTGTAGAGACTGGCTTCCTCCCCCTTCCTAAGAGGACTACCTCCCCTTAGCGTATGTGCATTCACTACCATACGGGAGACATTTCAGTCAACTAAAGTTGGGGCTGACTCAGCTAATTTCCCCGAACAGAAGGAAACCTGGTGGCCTTTAGAAGCTCAGCCTAACGGTCAGGTTTGGGCGTTGTGGATCATTTGTCACTTGTGAACGGACTGCACAGAAGAATCGTTTATTGTCGGGGTTAGTGGCACTCGTCTTACCTTTAGTCATAAGGGCATGAATTAAATTAAATGGAAGCCAGGAGTGCCCAGTGAATCACACCCTCTTTCTGAATGCCGTCTTAGGGAGAGGGAGTTGTCTAAAGGGAAACACAGACTCTACTTTGGAAAGCTTGGACTTAAATCCTGGCTCTGCCATTTTAGCTTTATGACTTTGGGCAGGTCTCTGAGAACCTTAATTCAGTTTCATGTATGAAATGAGATAATGCCTCCTGGGAGGAGCCAAGTGCCCACCATAAATGAGCTGCTTAATAAGTGCTCTCTCACCCCCAACAAGATGGAACCCTCCAAGGGACAGTTTTCCTTCTAGTTAGTCCGATCTCCAAGAATTCAGTCAATGCTAATATTCCTTTACACCCATCTGTCACCTTTCGAATGAAGCTTTTAAGAAACCCTTGGGCTAGTACATAGTGAGTTCTAGGAGTACAAAATTCCCTAATACAGAAGCAGTGTCTGATTTAATCCTTGGGATCAACTGTGAGATTGCAGTTTATCCAGCAGTAAATTACACAAACATGGAAGATAGAAATCCTTTTTAATGGGCACAGGGATGGTGGGTGGGGTTAAGAGGAGGCGGTTATTGACTTTCAAGGCTAAGGGGGCCACACCAAGCTTCCTTGGTTCAGTTGTTATGTTTCAGGGGCCACTAAGGGATCCGGGCATATCTAAAATCTGCTGCAGAGAAGGTTGTTTTTTAAAAGGGTTTCGTTGCATTTCAAAGTCAGAGAAAGCAAATCTCTCCAAGAGAAAGCCCTGCAAATAAGAGGAGTTTAAAATGAGCATCTCATTGACAAAAAGCCCATTCAAAAATAAAATTTGCACCATTAACTAAAGGGCAAAATATCACAATTATCACTTGGACTTGTTAAAAGCAAACTCGCTCCTTGGTCTCCAGGCCAGTGTTACATGTAAACTGAAACCCTGTTCGGAGTCTACATCTAGGAGAAACACATTAGCTGTGCTGTGTGGTGTCGCTCTGGGAGGTTTTCATTGTTCTTTAAACCCACATTATTTAATCATTCTGATCAACTTCACAAAGGCTGCAAAACAAGTTAGGATTTTAGTTTGTAAACCAGCAGAGATCCAGGGTTTTTATATGGAGGAAAGCACTGGCTTTAACTTTTTTTTTTTCTTCTGTGTTTAATGCTCTTCAGAATATTACTTTTCAATAGGAGAAAAAACATTTCAGGCGCTCGTTTTGCTTTTAATACATCAACATATACAATGTTGTGGGAGTATATATTTGGTTTCCCTTCTCCAGAGTGGAATTTGGTTCTATACGACAAACCCATGTATAATTAAGACAGTAACTTGTTCTCAGTATTTACAGTTTCTGGGGGTGGAGGGGTAGGGGGAGGGTAAAGAGGCTGGGAATTCTGTATTTGTAAAAACTGAAATTTCAGACTATGGCCACATGGTTTTACAATTTACCACATCATATCTTGTTAAAAGTGTTACTTATTCTTTGCTTATATTCATGTTTTGCCTTTAAAAAAAAAGTTTAGGTTCAGAACTGTTATGTTTAATTGTATAATATGGTTAGAAGCAAGTTCATGAGGGTTGAGAAGAATGTTAAGTGGGAAATGTAATTTTTTCTCTTTCTAAGAAGTCTGGTACTTCAGGCTCGTACATGTACTCCACACACACACACACACACACACACACACACAATTAATTGAAAAAGGAAATTCATCTAACAAATGTAACTCTTAAGCTTGGAAACAGCGCCTACATTAGCACCTGGTACATAAGATGTGCTCACACTCTTATTGAATGAAGAAGGAAGAAAAGAGAAACACTGGTGTTTATATCACGTGTGTCTTATTTCCTTCTTCCCATCAGAATTCTACAGCTTGGCAGGAGTTTTAGCAAGCATTTTGTCTAGACCCCTCACTGAACAAATAAAAAAACTGGATGGGTTCTGATCTCCAAAGACATATAGCCCTGTGAGTTCTGAGGCCCAGAAGTCTGGGGGTATCGTATGCAGGAGGCACCCATTTCGATTCCCTTTAAAAGCCTGTAGAGAACTTCTCTCCAAAGGGTTTCTTGAAACCTAACTTCTAACATGCCTTTCAGGTGACTGGAGAGAACATAACCTACATTGTAGCAAATATTTTACAAAACATCGGACAGCATATAGTAGTGGGAAGGTCCTAAGCTTTAGAGTGAGATTTGAATTCAACGCCTTGGGCCACCATTTTCTAGCGATGAACATGAGACATGAGTCACGGTTTACATCTTGAAATCCGTTTTCTTCATCTGTGAAATGAAGACCATAATACCTATGTCAGAGGATTGAAGAGTTAATATTTGCATAAAGTGACTGAGAAAAGCTCCCAGCACATGGTGGGTACTCAAGTGTAATTTCTTCTCTCCCTCCATATTTTAAAATGTTACCCTTAAAAAGAATACCTCCTTCAAATTAATTAATTAATTAATTTTAAAAAAAACCTCCCAATTCTTGAGTGATTTTTCTGAGCATTCTCTTAAATAGGACAGCAATTACGTGCTCAGTGTCACAAAATGTGAGATCAAGCCAACTGCCCATGTTCATAAGTAGTGAAGCTGAGACCCAGTGTGATTTCAAGGCAATAAAGGGTCTGTTCTTCTGGGAGATATTTCATAGAAAATAAAGGAGCTATGGGCAGATTCAAAAAAAAAGAGAGACAAGAAAAACTTCCAGGGTGAAAATCAAATGAGTCGTTAAAAGTAAAACATTTCCGGGTTTCCTATAAAGACATGGAGAATTGCTGAGATTGGAAACCAAAAGAATTATCCAATTCTGACTTCTTGGTCAAATTTAGATAGCTATTAATTTTTGTTACTTTAATGCTCTCATCACATTTTATATGTACTGTGATAATGCATGAAAACCTTAACTCCCTCACCCCAAATCAATCAGTGCCTCAGCACACAGATGGGGGGGTAGCGGGGTGGGAAAGCTAGAAAAATATCTGGGCAGAGTACCTTATTTTGTTTTCAGGTATCTTTACAGATATGTTTTTAAGATTAAGACCTGTAGACAAGAGCATATGGAGCAAACTATTCAACGTCTAGAAAGTCACATTTTATTTCTTTCAGCTGTCCTTTTAAACATAAAAACAGTGCAAATCAATGTGCACTGGCATCAAAACCAACTGGAATCATCGATCAGGCTAAGCACTGGGTACTTCTCATTTTACTTGATTGATAATCCAGC